AGATGGTAAGGAGACTAGGGTTTCAGTGGGTGGAAGATGGTGATGATGTGGTAGAGGTTTCAGTGGGTGCAGATGAATTTGATCCACGTCATTAAAATATGCTTCGTCAGCGTGCCACGACTCAATAAATTTAACGCCGTCTATTGAAATTAACGGCAATGTTCCAATTGACTCAATTTTACAAAAATAGGGACCTAATTGAGATAAAAATAAATACGAGGACCCATATGAAACATTGCTACACAAATAGGGATGTCGAAAAGGATTAAACCATTTTTTTATAACCTTTTTATATCAGAGATACATTATTTTTAGCTTAATAAATAGAAAAGCAAATTCAAAACTCGATTTGACAAAATTTTCTGGCTTAAAGTGCTACTTTGAATCAAATTATTTACTATTTATTTATTCTCTGATTTAGAATCCTTCTCTGGACCAGAACACATAGTAAATAATTATTGTTATTTGAAAAACAATAATTAATCTCAATTCAATATTTTATCGTCAAAAAGATATTATCATTTGCTTGTTTTTAGAAATTTTTTTTGTCAAGATATCATCTTTATTTTCTATATAATCGAATTTGATAATTTTTCTAAAACAACTTAATTAACCCAAACATATGTTGGGTGCATACATTTGATAAAAATAACTTACGAATATCATTCCTTGAATAAAGATAGATTTCATGAGATGTACTAGTATCTTTTCATGCACTTTATTTCATCAATTTACCTTTTGTGCCTAGATTTACAGACGAAAAATCTCAAGGGTATCGTTGCTCTGACCAAATATGGAGAATTTCTGTTAAATCCCTGGACAAAGTGTAGAAGTCTTTGAAATCACAAGTCTTAAGTTATTTTAAAATAATTCATGTTTTGTAATTTAATGATTAATTGAATGAATATAAGAAATGATCCACTGATTCACTTTCCATGAATATTAGTTTGACCGCGTAAGCACTTAATATCCTTCTGAATTTAATTTTTAATCCTTTACAAATAGTTATTATAATAACCAAATGAGATTACAAGTGAGAGAATTAAATAGATAATCTACATAATAACACGCTAATGACATATTATACTACAATTTGTGTTACGCTCGAAAACCAGCAAACATAAACAGGATTCCCTATCTCGGCCCTGAGATATTTTGTGAAGACATGTAAGAAAAACCATGGGACGGTGAATCACTTGGTATGCTTGTAGATCTACGTGCTTCTTGATGCATCAAAGAACCATACTCATTTTCTTCCGCTATTGTGGAAGCCTCAGTAAACCTTCGCCCATAAAAGCGCAGGAAGTTCAAAGATTCTATCCTCGGATATGGCAATGGAGTCCCACCTTCCAACATGCCAACAACAGTCACCATGTTTGGCCTCAGTACAGGTTCTTCATGAACGCAACATAAGGCAATGCGAATCACTTTCTCCAGTTCTTCATATGTCACACGTCCTTCTAGTCTTGGATCAGCCAACTCCAGGTAACTCTTCTGTTCATGCATCTCCAATGCAAATAGAGGAAAATAAACCAACCCAGTTGTTGATGATGTCGAGGAATGGCCTCCACCACTGTTGCTTTCATCCATGCTATGGCTTCTTGACCTGAAATAACAGTTCTTTCTTCCACTGACGAGTTCAAGAAGCACCATTCCAAAGCTATACACGTCAGTTTTCTCTGTAATGGCAGAGTTGGTGAGCCACTCTGGAGCAAGATAACCACGTGTGCCTCTCATTGTTGTGAACAGACCGGACTGTTCGGGGCTGAGGAGTTTGGAGAGTCCAAAATCAGATATCTTAGCCTGAAACTGATCTTGCAAGAGAATGTTCTCGGGTTTGATGTCACAATGGATAACCTTCTGCTCACAGCCACTGTGAAGGTAAGCAAGTCCACGCGCTGTTCCAAGCGCCACATCAAACCTCTCTTGCCATTCTAACACGGGTCCACCACCGAAGAGGTTTCGGTCTAGGGATCCACGGTTCATGTACTCATAAACCAACATCCGGTGTCTCCCTTGAGCACAAAAGCCTTTCAGTTTGACCAAGTTCACGTGGTGGATGTTTCCAATGACAGCGATCTCAGTGCAGAAATCTTTCTTCCCTTGAATGCCTATGTTCACTATTTTCTTTACTGCTACAGCAGATTTGTCAGGAAGCACACCCTTGTACACAGTTCCAAACCCACCTGACCCAATAAGAGTCTTGAAGTTTTCTGTGGCTTCCTCAAGCTCTTCATAATCAAACCTTGCAGGTAATCCAGGAATGTAGAAGGCATCCAAGTCCCCTGAAGAAGGTGAGTTTTTCCCTAGTTTCACTTCTTTAATCTTTGACAGAAGAATCAATCTTCTCCACCCAAGGAAAATTATGGCCATCAAAATAATGAATCCAATAATAGGTAACACCACCGCTACTGCCACAGGAAATCCCCCATTTTGAGAACTTTGCTTATTACCACTATCATCGTTAGTACCAGTTTTAGATTCAACAACGTTAGTTTTAATAAACCCCAACATTCTGTTATCTCCATTACTTGCCTGAATGGACCCCAACTCATTCTCAATCGTGTAGCAAGAACCAGATGTGTTTTTATACAAAATTCCCAAGCAGGAACAGTTATTGGAACAAAATTTTTGACAGGAAGATAAATCCCCTTTATACATAACCGGATCCGAGTAAAAAGTGCCAAAGTATTGAACATACCCTATATTAGAAAACGAAACAACTGAAGAATTTTCGCAAGCAAGTGACAGGGAATGGGATCCATTGCTCAGCACACAACCACCAGAAGTACCTGAGCCTACGCGGAAGTTTGGGGGACAAGAACAAACAGGTGAAGAGGAATCAGTGCTCTTAGTGCATAACCCTGCTCTTCCGCAAGCCAAGGGAGTTTGACAACCATCATCTGGCCCCACAAACTCCTGCGTCAAGCCAGCGCTAGAAAAGCTGTTGATAGTGAACTGCCCAGAGGAACCCAACGTGGCAATTCGAAAATTAGCCAGTGGCAATCCCAGTTGAAAAGCTGTTCCACCATCTCCAAATAGATAAAACCCTGAATTGTTTACGGCCATGTATTCCACCATATTATTTGAATTCTTAAAAACTTTTGTATCAGTTGAAAGTTTCCAGTAGGTCTGTCCATACCATTGCAGCACTGCATCAGAGGAAGAAATCGTGAGCTTGAAATCTCCTGTTGACAAGTTTGAATTCGATGCTGCACTTGACAAAGACGCTCCGACAGGTAAACGCTGTCCAATAACAATTGTATCGGTTGGGCTTTGGAAACTCTCCCAGAGAGAACCATTGGACGTATCCTGTAAGACGAGATTTCCCATCTCGGTCAGCACAAGCCTATTTGCTTGTGATTTGAGTGATGGCGTTGACCATTTGGTGTTCCCATCGTAGTCGACAATTGTGATCCCTTTGACAGTTAAAAGCATTTTTCCAGAATCTGAGATGGGGGCATCACGGTTAGCAGACCAAATGATAGTTTTGGACGCATCGTGAATGACACACAGGTAGAAACTTGTTTGCTGACCACCGGGGTTGAATATAGCAGCCTTGAACGTGTTATTGGGAGACACCAGGAACGTACCAAAGTCATCGATGAAATGAAGATATGAGGCAGAGAAATTTGGAGTGATATATGAAAAAGTGCGAGCCGAAATGGTAGTGCAGAAAAACAAAATGCAAGAGAGAGTTAAGATAGGTTTCATGGTGTAATTTGAAGAAATGCAGAACTGAGACAAGTAAGAAATGGCTTTGGAAATTGGAATTGAGGAAGGGAAAGAGGTTGGAATTGGTCAGTTTTTGTGGTTTCAATTTTATTTTCTGGTATGCTGCTGCTACCCATTTCTGCGTTGACTATTGAAAAATTGTTACAGCCCTCACTAATAAACTCTTTCAAATTCCAATTCATAGTGAAAGCGAAGGTGTGGTGGCAATTATTTATTCTAAGATGAATAGGCAGAGAAGACACGGGGATAAAATTTAAGGAACAGAAACTTTTTTTAACGTAAGAGTCATTGCCATTTCTTTCTCACGTTGTATGATATTGTATCAGCACTCCTTCCACAAACCTTCTTCTCCTCAAATTATTGTTGTCTAATTAAAGCAGACTAATTTTAAAAAACAGTGACTTATGGGGAAGCATGACGTGAGTATTTAATATAATATAATCAGAAATAATTGCAGTGCATGCATCATACATTCCTCCACAACTCATATGTTAGTGTATACTTTATTTATTTAACAAAAAAAAAAGAAAGAGTAAACCTCTTTCTTTTTAAAGACTTAGTATGGGAGATTGGAAAAGGAGAAAACATGATACACAAGTTGTCTGCATCATGAAGTCAAGGGTGGCACGGCCTCCAAGCGCAGATAAAAGGGACAGTGAAACGAAAATGCCAAATGGGTCAATTCCAGATTGCGTGTTCACGCAAACGATGGAGTTGGAGATGATAACTATTAAACGAGAGAAAGTACCTCCCTCTCGAAGAAAACGATTTTCGAACAGAATCCTTCTAATAATCTCTTGTTGTTTACTTTTCTCATTTGTTGGATTGGAGAAACGATATTATTTATTTTTTAAAAATTTATTTGATTTGGGTTATATCTCTAGATGTCAAAAATGTTACTCCCACTATAATTATCAATTAAACTTCAATAATATATTATAAAATTTCATTAACAAAAAATAGATTCACCCAGAAGAAATCCATAAGAATGCGTAAAAAATAATAAATTTATTTAATTATTGATGTGTTTAACAATTCAACATCTACAAAAAAGCTAAAACATACACACAATACATAATATTTACTTTTTATTTTAGTTGCATGTTGAAAATCACAAACAAACTACATGAGAAAATTTGGAGTATGCTATAATGCATAACATAGTAATCATTCTAAAACTTTTTTTATTGATTGTTGTGTAATATATTATTTTTAGTTAGGCTAATTTTTTTATAAATTAATAATCATGATTATAATGATTTTTAATGAAAAACTAATACCTTGTAGATTATATCATGAAGTGGATTTACCATCTAAAATTTGTATACATTTATAGAAGTGGTAAAAAGAAAAGTAATTAATAACAAAAAATCTCTTTTGCATATTTTCTTTCAATGTTTTGCTCCAATAACGGTTTGGAATTAGTTAAAGATAATGTTTTGCTGATTTGGTTATTGACTCTCCTATGAATTTTATTTCTTTTATTGAAGTGAGAAACAATCATATGTCCTCTAGTCAGTTTGACAAGCTTGTCGTGATTATTTGTGCAATTTGAATAATATGAAAAAATGTATAATCATGCAAGTTTCAAAACCCTTTTAATCTGTCCTTTGTTATTCAGTCGATCTCGTAATTTGCAAGGATGATTTATACTTCTTCAACTAAATCCATGTATTAAATATAACATTTTAATGTGTTGAATTTTTTTATATTCTAACTCGGTCTTATACCCTTCTCTTTTAATCTTAGTAATTTGAGAATTTGTGAAAGTAAATATTGATTGTGTTGCAAATGGTTGTTCATGTTTGGCTGCTTGTGGTGGTATATTTATTGATTGGTAGTTTTTCTGCTTTTTGGGCTTTCAATTTTTTTTTTATAAAATTTATGGGAGTTATTTATACTATAGAGTGTATTTTGAAGGAAAAATTTTCACGTCTTTGGTGAAATTTGACTCAAATTTGGTGTGTAACGTTTTTTATAATCAAAATATAATTCATTAAACTCTTAGAGAAGGATGGAGAAAGTGTCTAATTCTTAAAGATATAAAGTTTAAAGTTTCACATATTTATAGAAAAGAAAACCATTACGTAGATAAGTTGACTAATACAAGTTTGGTAAATAGAGAAAATTTTAAATGATATTCTGTTTTACCTTAGAGTATTAGTTTGAATTGTTTTTTTAACAATAGATATCAACTTGTAATGTATAGTTTTGGTTTAAAAGTGTGTCATGTAATCTTAATAAGAGGTTTAGTTTGGCTCAATAATTATTTATTTATTCTTTAATAATATTTATTTTGTGATGGGAAATGATTTTTTTTGGGTGTCAAACATAATTAAAATGTAAAAAAAAACATAGTTATGTCATGAGTTTTAATAATAATAAAAAAAAAAGACTTACAATAATTTAGATGAATGAGAAATCTTATATTATATTTAATTAAATTATATATTTATGTATTAAAATTTTGGAGTTAACATTCAACCTTTTTGTGTAATGAAGATAATTACAAAAGTATTGAAATTAAAGCCATCAATTGTCAATAAAACCTCAATAAGACATATCGATCATCCTTTCTTAGTAGGACTAATTTTTGTGTAGTACAAAATATACTTTTAAACTCGCACAATAGACCTCTTTTTATACAAAACCGCTGTCTATTCAGACACGGTGGCAGTTTGGTAATTAATGAGACATTATAGGCCTCGGTTCAGACGAGACAGATGACAAAAAGAGATATTACTTCGGTTGTAAAGACAACCGGTGCCTAAATATTAGTGTCTGACGCAGTTTCTGACGCGGTTAAGAGGAACCCGAGGTGAAAGAACTATACGACACCGGTTTGTGGGAAGGACCGAGGCATAAGCCTCTACTGCTCAGACCCGAGGCATATAAGCCTCTCTTTTTTTCCCCAAAATTTTCCCCAACTTAACCTAATCTCCCTCCGCACTCTCGCCTCCCCTGGCTCTCCCTCCCTCCCTCCCTCCCCTGGCTCTCGCCTCGCCTCCCCTCCCCTCGCTCTCGCCTCCCCTCGCTCTCGCCTCCCTCCCCAGGCTCTCGCCTCCTCTCGCTCTTGGATTCTTCTCTCCCTCCATTCCATTGCCGCTTCTTCCTTACCCCCACGAACCTCCCACAACTAAACCACACCACGCCACTGCCAGCCCCAGATCTGCCACCGTTTCCGTAAAGAGCACCCGATGAAGAGGAAGGAGAGGCATCGCGCAGTCGGCGGCGGCGGAGGAAGAGCAGCGCGCGACAGAGGAGTGGACAATCTCCGATGAGATGCGGCGGCTGGAGGAGAATATCGGAGAAGAATGGCGCGAGGATGAGGGCCTTGTGGCGGAGGCAGATGCGGAGGGCGCGGGGGCGAATGCGGAGGGCGCGGAGGCGAATGCAGAGGATGTGGCGGAGGAGGAGGAGAAGCGACAGAGGCAGCGGTGATGGCGGAGGCGGATGCGGATCCAGATTTCATTTCTTTTTGTCCAGCTTGTGCGGATCCAGAAGCTTTTTTGTCCAGATTTGATTTTGTTTTGATTTGTTTGGTTCCTTTGTTAAATTGAATTTGACTGTTAAATTGATTTGTTGAATTGAATCTGAGAAGCTTGAATTGAATCTGAGAAGCCTGGAATGAATTTTCTACATAGGAATCATTCTAAAAACGGTTTTTATGATGTTGTTAATAGATTCTTTGTAGTTAGGCTAATTTTGTATAATTAATAATCATGATTATAATTAATGTTTAATGAAAAACTAATCTTAGTATCTTATAGCCTAAGTGGATTTACCATCTAAATATGTCATTTCTAGAATTGGAACAAGAAAGGGTTTTTACCTCCTATGAATTTTATTTCTTTTATTTAAGTAGAACCAATCATATGTCCTCTAGATCGTTTGACCAGCCACGCTTGTCGTGATTAGTTGTGCAATTTGACTATATAAAAATGTATAATCTGCAAGTTTCAACCTTAATTGTCCTTTGTTATTTCATTCATCTCGTCTTTGCCAAGATGGGTTAATACTTCTTCAACTAAATCCATGTATTAAATATAACATTTTAATGTGTTGAATTTTTTTATATTCTAACTCGGTCTTATACCCTTCTCTTTTGATCTTAGTAATTTGAGAATTTGTGAAAGTAAATATTGATTGTGTTGCAAATGTGGTTCATGGTTTGGCTGCTTGTGGTGGTAGATTGGTAGCTTTCTGCTTTTTGGGCTTTCAATTTTTTTTATAAAACTTATGGGAGTTATTTATACTATAGAGTGTATTTTGAAGGAAAAATTTTCACGTCTTTTGGAAATTACTCTTTGGTGGGTAAACTTTTTTATAATCAAAATCTATTCATTACACTCTTAGAGAATGATGGAGAATGGCTAATTCTAACGATTAAAGTTTAAAGTTTCACTATATTTTTCGAAAGAAAACCATTACTAATAAGTTGACTAATACCAGTTTGGTAAATAGAGAACCTTTACTGATATTCTGTTTTCCTTAGAGTATTAGTTTTGATTGTGTTTTTTAACACAGATATCAACATTGTAATGTTTAGTTTTTATGGTTTAAATTGTGTCTGTAATCTTGATAAGAGGTTTAGTTGTCTCAATAATTATTATTTTGTATTTATTATTCTTTAATTATTTTTTATTTTGTGATGGGAAATGTATTTTTTTTGGGTGCAACACCAATTAAAATGTAAAACAACTAGTTAATGTCATGGTTTGTCAATAATAAATAATACACCAAGACTTACAATATTTAAGGATGAGAAATCTTTATTATATTTATTAAATTATATATTTTTGTATTAGCCAACTTTTGGAGTTACATTCAACCTTTGTGTAATGAAATAAATTACAAAGTATAGAAATTAAAGCCACAATTTCAATACACCTCATAAAACCTATCTATCCTCCTTTCTTATAGGAATAATTTTTTGTTTACTACTATGTTTCACTTTGTAGATGATAGATGGCATCTTGAAAACTTTGTAATGTTTTAAACTTCTTGGTACATGAATATTCACTTATTTAAGGTAGAATATTTCTTACTAAACCTATTCTTAATATAACATCTAATGTTATTAAAAACAAGTTATTAGCTTTTATTCCTTGTCAACCCTTTCTGATTCTCTTTGATCACTAACACTAAAACAAGAACTTTGGACCTTAACATTAATTCTTCACTCTATCTACATATGTCTCTTAATAAGTTATGATCAATACTACTAAATTTAATACTTAATACAATTTAATCTTATTTTTTATTTCGAAGTGTATTCAAGGTTCCTAGGTTGCTTATAGAAGCTATAGTTCCTTACACTTATGATAAGTAATA